GACATCCCTAACACACAAAATAATGTCAATATCAGAACACTTTTTGTTGATTCAGGTGAAGAGAGGAGATGTCTGAGAATCAGACTGAATGAAGCCTGGTTACTGTAAACACCCACTTGTCACTCAAAATGGCCCCACCTCTAATTCTGCGTAACTTTAAGCCTTGATATAATTTAAATGGGTTAGTTATATAAAAATCCACCCCTGTACAGCTGTCATGAATGGGAAAATTAACTATAGAGACAGAAACAGTTTATTTCTGCTGTAAAGCTGGGCATTTCAATATGGGGCCTTATGGAGATTGACTCACTGCTGGTGCCAGCCTCAAGTGGCCGTTACAGGAACTGCAGCTTTTGTGACCAAGTGTGTTGGCTTCAGTTGACAACCACGGAGGTTGCTGCTTGGCTGTTATTGACTGTGATACCAGCGTTGTCAGTCAAATCTAATCAAACCAAAGCCACAAAGCCGTGAGTTTTTAGTGATAAACTCTTGATAAATACATTTTGATTGCTGCTTATGTAAGCAAGATTTTTAAAGTAACAGAGAAAAACTTAAATATAACCAAGTTTTCTATGCTTTTAATTGGAAGTTGTACATTTTATGCTTAAATAAGGTAAATAAGTAACCAATAGAAACTCTGTAGAAACTGTGTGTGTGTGTGTGTGTGTGTGTGTGTGTGTGTGTGTGTGTGTGTGTGTGTGTGTGTGTGTGTGTGTGTGTGTGATAGACCACCAGAGTGAAGAACACCACCAGCAGCTCCAGTCTAACACACCCCAGTGCCAGGATATTAAGTCATGGAACTCAGTCAGTACAGATGTAAGAATTAAAGGACAAAAAACAAAAACAGTCCAGAAACAAAGACACTATTATCCTCGGCATCCATCCATTCTTTCCCCATCTGGGCCTGTTCACAGTAACAGTCAGCCTGAGAGAGTCTGAACAGTAAAACAAGCTCTGCTCCAGAAACGTGTTTGACATGTGTGCAGAGGATATCACGTCATTTCAGGGCAGTAATTACCCAACACATGTTACCCCCAACATTCAGGGATATTCTCCAGGATTTCCTGGTACTGCTGATTTCCAAATAATGGTAGTTCAAGCTCACTGAAAAGAACACACAAAAACAAACTAAGCTATACCTTAAAATCTGTTTTATATTGAGATTAAAGCTGCAATAGGTAAGTAACTGTTGCTGAAACTTTCACTATATCCTGACAGTAGAACATGAGACAGATAATCTGTCTACTTGTGGTTCCTATAGTCTCTAAAAGTAGAACAGGAGCCAGAGCCTTCAGTTACCAAGCTCCTCTCCTGTAGAACCAGCTTCCAGTTGTGGTTCGGGAGGCAGACACCCTCACCACATTCAAGAGTAGGCTTAAGACATTCCTCTTTGATAAAGCTTATAGTTAGGGCTGGATCAGGTGAGTCCTGAACCATCCCTTAGTTATGCTGCTATAGGCCTAGACTATCGTGGGATTTCCCATGATGCACTGAGCTCCTCTCTTCCTCTCTCTCTCTTTCTGCACTCATTCATGTTCCATTAATGCATGTTACTAACTTCACTTCTTCCCCGGAGTTCTTGTGCTTTCTCGTCTCGCAGGTTCTCACCACTATTAGTTGTTGCTACTGTTGTTGCTGTGCACCTCTGTCTGTCTGTCTGTCTGTCTGTCTGTCTGTTCTCTCTCTCTCTCTCTCTCTCTCTCTCTCTCTCTCTCTCTCTCTCTCTCTACCACCCACCTAGAGCCGAAGGGTCTGTCCTAGGTTTCTGCCTCTTTACAGGCAGTTTTTCCTTGCCCTTGTCGCCAAGTGCTTGCTCATGGTGGTACTGTTGGGTCTCTGTAAATAATGTTATAAGGAGTTCGGTCTAGACCTGCTCTATTTGAAAAGTGTCCTGAAATAACTTCTGTTATGAATTGGCGCTATACAATCAGGTTTCTCAGGTTCCTCCTATTGCTCCTAACGGCATTTGCAAGAATCCACCGGACCTGAATGAGAACAACCAATCAGAGCTGAGAAAGAAGGTTGATTGTTGAGTCTCATTCCCAGGACCTCAAATACCATTTCGAAACCTATTTCCACTACAAACACAGGTACTTACTTACCTTAGTTACTCACTTAAAGGACCAGTGTGTAGGAGTTAGTGGCATCTAGTGGCAAACTTGCAGACTGCAACTAACTGAACCATTTGGGAATGAGAACTGGCTGTGAAGTGTGTAAAACTACATAGGCCACAAACATTTTTAAAAATCCTATCTAGAACCAGTGTTGGGTTTGTCCGTTATGGGCTACTGTAGAAACATGGCGGTTCAACATGGCAGCCCCCACGGAAGGCAGCTCATTCTAAGGAAACAAAAACACATTCCTATATTCAGGTGATTATACACTAATGAAAACATACCTATGGATATTATATTCAATTTCTGCCAATAGATCCTCCTAAATATTACACACTGGACCTTTAATCTATGAATGATTTCATGGCAGTGGTTTTCTTTTCCGCGTGACATCTCTTGATGATGTACACAAGACTCAAGTCTCAAACTATAAATCAGTTCTAAAGCTATCCAGCCAATACGGAAGCATAAATCCAGCCTGTCAGGGTTATGAAAGTTGCTTTTGAAACTGAATTCACTCTAATGACACATACTCAAAGAAATATCCCGTAGTTACACCATGTTAAAGGTTTTCCATGATGTGAGTCAAAGAGTATTACACTCATAATTTAGGTCTTTTTTTCCCCCAGGATATGACAGTGTTTTCTCACCATGCACTCATTAATTTAAATGTGAGTTTGTACTCATTTATTTTTGTACTTTTAATTTTAAAGCTTAAAAGCAATGACTGCAGTCAGATTCAATCCATGTTAAACTCAAACGTCTCTCATATGAGCTCTATGAACATTATAATGTCTCTCCTCCAATTTCTGAGCATATTTCACATGGTTTTTTTTGCATTTATTACCCTCATAACAGACATGATGTCAGCAATATAAATAATTTACTGTATTTTAATTGTTTAATACATACTAGTCACTCCGAGCTGCGTAACCAGTTTGCCCTCTCCTAGCTGTAGGACACATGGAAATGATGATGAAGCTCCTAGTAAAATGCATCTGTAATACGCTGTATGTCACAATTACTGCGTCTGAGACCGACTTTCCATGTGTGGGTTTGAATGGGAGAGGCGCACCTAGAATTAAGATGGTATAGATCATTTCCTCCCAGATCTGGAACCAATTCAGGGCAATTTTACCTGGCAGCCTTGTGTGTGTGTGTGTGTGTGTGTGTGTGTGTGTGAGAGAGAGAGAGAGAGCGCCGTCTCACATTAACCTGTGATTCTGAGAAAAGGAGATATCAGGTTGCAAACTGTGGTATAACATCGTTTACTTAGGCTTTGTTCTTAAAAATATGTTGTAACAACTCCAAATTCAGGGTCTGGGTATTTAAATATGTTTTTCCAATGACTATACTATATGTCTATAAAATGCTAATATATATGAGATATGCATTACCTCATTGTTTGACCCAAACGTATACTGTTTGGATTTCCAACCACTATCATCAAGACTTCGCCCACAGTACTCAGACTGAGCAGACGTTTGGTGTTAGGGAAGTAAAACCTCAATGAGCAACCCAGTCGTCACTGGCAGCCATTCATATCTGCCATTACTGTGATACAAGTAACTTTAAAAAAATTAATAGAAAAAAATAGTTACCTATTTAACCTACCTATTTAAGTTACGTGTACTTTTCATGTCATGTTTGTGGAGCAAACCATCTCACTGACACTGTTATCTCTAGTGGATCGGCAGGTCTATTACATTGGTGTGAGACTGGGCTGAAGGGTTGGGTAAGAGTTAACTGAATCTCTGTGGGTTCGTCACCACAAGCAACTCATTTCACATTTCATACATTGTTAATATAAAAATATTGATTAGAGCAACAATAACTGTCCCTATTCCAGCTCAGAATGTGTTCTTGGTGGAGTACCACATTATTGAAGCTGTGGGAGACACCTAACATCTGGAAAATCCTCACATATGGTGTTGCACACTGTTCCTCTTACTCAGCAATACACCCCCTGCCCCCACCCCCCACCCCACCACCTCTGGCCTGTGTTGTTGAGCAACTGTACCCTGCAGGGGAGCTGGACAGAGGAACTCCTAACCCTTTCCAGTGTTAAAACATAAGCACAGCCCAGCAAAAGAACTGATCCTAATGAAGCTGCATTATTATATCATTAGGATTATCACAGTAACATTAAATTAAATGACTACATGTAACATAAAAGGGTTGCCTCCCAACTCTGCAGCTCTATAGGGCATTTGTGCCTCTTTTAGCTAATTGTTTTTGCTTTACGAGACATTTACTGTTTTGGTTCACTCTGTCAATTTTATTTACATAGCCCAATATCACAAATGATGAATTTTCCCCATACAATTTGTACAACATACAACACCTTCTGTCCTTTAGATCCTCGATTTTGACTCTTAAATGTGGAAAATACTGGAGAAACGTCAGGAAAGCAACAGAGGAGGATACCTCTACCAGGACGGACACACATGCAATAGATGTTGTGTGTAGCTACAGGACAGACAAACATAGTAAAATGACAGTATAGACAATCCAGGAAGAGAGAGAGAGGAAAGACAAAATCTAGCGGCTAAAGTGCTCCTCATCTGTCGGTGGGGACCAAACCAGAGCTTACATTCAGGTTTACATTCATCAGTGCCCTGCAACACTCCTAGTCCTGTCTTAATACCTGTAAATGGGGCTTAATACAACGCTAAATGAAGACTTTCTTCACCAGGTAACAGCATTTTTTTTTTACTTATAATGTAGCAAAACTCTGAATCTGCAAACCCAAGATGTAAGATAAAAGACAAAACTAGATGTCATGTAAATATTCCAAGTGACCAGCAGCTGTATTTAATAAACTTCTAGTGAGTCTCTTTGTCAGCGTACTCCACTCTGCTGGCTGAGAGTCAGTGTGCAGTATATAAAGGCAGCAGCAGCAGAGGGGCAGAGGAGAGAGCAGTTGCACTCTGACAGAGCAAGATGCGCGTCCTTGCTGTCCTCTGGACATTCAGCTTCCTGCTGAAGGAGGCGCAGGCATGGGGCTTCAAAAATGGAATATTTCATAACTCAATATGGCTGGGTAAGTAACTTTTTCTCTTGTTGTTCCCTTGCTTTGTAGCTATAAAAATGTCATCGAGGACCTCTTTGTTATGAAGTTGTGATAAAGTTGAAAACCCAATAACAACCATTTATATTTACATACTTACCGTCATATAACCTAGTTGGTTTACTAAATATGATGTCTTCCTTTGTTATTAAAATCCAGTATGATCTGCATTTTAATGTTATTAACCAGTGTTGCCTTGCCTTTCATTGTGTTTCAGGCAAAGTTTTGCCGCAGCTATTTCACCTCATTCATTATTTTATGTTTTTGTAAACGCAGCAAAGAATATCTCACATAAAGGCACATTGTGAGGAGTGACCAGGATTAACAGGCAACGCACCAGCAGCTTTCCCTTTGCCAAACTGCATGTTTATGACCTGGCTGGGTGCTGCATGAGGCCAGTAAACACAGGGAAACAACTTCATCTCAGGGCAAACACATCAGAGTCCCAAGAAAAGACAGTTGAGCTAATATTGTTTCTATTTCTTTGGGGACAGAATGTATCAGTCCTACTGAAATGATATTGACAGCACGGCTTTGAGTCTCCTCCTGTGCTAGTTATTAAGATATAACTCAGACAAGCGGCTGACGTTCCCATACATACAGCTCTCACTCTCCCTTTATGAACCCCATTCTTTATGTTTTTACGAGGTGAGAGGGAAAGTAACAGAGCAGTGTTTCTTAGTGCTAATGAGCTTGCCTTATCTTATTATTTCATGCAAATTGTGCCCTATATTTCCTTTTATTGGTAGGTTAAGTTGCACTGATTCTCAATATTTTCTTTCTTCTTTGGAAATGTCTGTCACTGTTACAGAAGAACTGAGCTGACAGGGCATGTTCCTGTGGCAGTGAGCATGAGAGTTTAATGAGTGTAAAAACATTCATCAAACAGGTTAAAACGATCAAAATATCAACTTGATTCTAATTTCTGAGGGCTTTCTGCCTAGTTTTGCAGTCATGCATGCGCAAAAAGCCAAAACAGGATCAGCAGAGAACCCCCATTGAGGAGGACAGGGAGCAAGTGACCCAATTGTTGGTGAACTTCCAAATTGGGGGACACAGTTAGCCTTTCTTGTTCATGTTTTAGCTTCATTTCACTGTGTCTTGGCTGCAGCCAGTTGGATGTGCTTTACATCTTGCAAAATCGTGTGTTACAGTTTTTCTCATTCGCTTTTGTGCAATTCTTGAATGAGAATTTTTTATTTTTTCAAAACAATAAATTCAAATGTTGGTTTGTTCTTCACAACAGATCTGAATGTCACCTTCACGTTTTGGCACATGTGTGATCGAAACTGATGTGCAAATCATCCTTTCATTGCTTGTCCTGTGCAAAATGTTTCATTCAGTTATCAAAATCTGTCAGACATACATGTATATTCCATAAATACCTGTGAGGATTGTAATACCTGTGGCCTCACTGAGCTACCGCAGGTCTTTTCATTGCTGTTGGGTTAGGGTAGGATGTCATTTTGTGGCAAATTATCATTATTAATGTTATCATGTTCACCATTTATGACTTTACCTGTTGGTAAAACATGTGTTTACCCTACTATTTCATGTCAAAATGGCTGCTGTGAAAAGGTCTATGGTTTAAAAAATGTTTCAAAAAAGGAGAAAACCTGTAACTGCAGACAGTGGTAGTAGCTCTTTTTGTTGTCTCTCTCTCTCTGACAGAACAAGCAGCTGGAGTTTACCACCGGGAATCGCGTAAAGGGAGATACCAGCTGACATTTAAAGAGGCCAAGGCTGTCTGCAAATATGAAGGAGGGAAGCTGGCCACTTACGAACAACTGGAGGCAGCTCGTCAAATAGGTCTGCAGCATCTCACACACACACACACACACACACACACACACACTCATTGACAATACGCACGCAGGCCTCCTGCCAGAGAAGATTTACTAGGGTGTATGGATCATAACTCATCATAACTTACTCAAGGCAAGGAGTCCTTCATCATTGCCAACACTAGTTCCCATGAGTCTCAGAGGGCTGTTGGAGCCATTAATAAGCAGTTTGGGCTGTGTGTACCTTTCCTTTCTTTCATGAAAGATCATGCCCGAGGACAGGTCCCTGATGTAGTGATACGTCTCTTAACCCACTGGAATGCTTTTAACATGTATGAAAAGAGGCTCGTATGTTGGTGGGTTAAAGGTCAATGGAAAGCAGTGAGCGGAACACTTCTTTCCACCAGTACTCTGCTGTTGCATGACTCCGTGCCAAATTTTAATCGGCCCCGCGAGTATTGTAGAAGCCTGTTAACACCTTCTTGGCTGGGTAATATCACCGTTCCCTTGGCACAGGGATTGAATCCAGCCCCTCGCTCTGGCATTACGATCCACCTCCCTGTCATTACAGCAGTCTACCTAGGAGGTCCCTCTTTCATCTGGGCTGTTCTGGCCTGGGGTCTGCTGATTGTAACTTGAAGCTAAACTCTGAGGCCCCTGTCTTCACAAATTAGAGACACAACAAAATAACAAACAATTTAACTTATAATGGTCACCAGAAGGGTCTGATCCAGGTTCTTTCTTTAGACTCTGCCCTGTTGGCAGAGTTGAAAGAAAGACCCTGTGTGGTTGGCAGAGTTTATTATGAGTGTATTGTTGCATAAAACCAGTACTTTTCTGCTCTTTTTCAGGTTTCCACGTGTGTGCAGCTGGGTGGTTTGACAAAGGGCGTGTTGGCTACCCCATCGTCAAAGCTGGCGCCAACTGTGGTTTTGGGAAGATTGGAATCGTCGACTACGGATACAGGCTGAACAAAAGTGAGAGATGGGACGTGTACTGCTACAACCCACACTGTGAGTACATGTTTCATACACAGTAGTAAACAGTGCCTTCAAGGTCCAGTGTGTAACATTCAGGAGGATCTTTTGTCAGAAAATCACCTGAATATAGGAATCATTGTGTTTTGTTACCTAAGAACCCACCGACTCTCCTGTTCCCCTCAGCTCCTCGGAGCTTTCTGCTGATTGTTTTAGTTTTCTGACCTGCAAATGTACTCTTTTGGATCTAATATAATTTTTTTCCCTTGACTGTAGTACAATTTTGAGGTACTTTTTTTTTTAGCTGTATTTCCACTACATGGTACTAGAGCCTCTCTATTGTATCTGTATTGCCATATATATTATTTGGCTTGCGTCAATATGAGATATTATATAATGCAGGAGAAAAAATGGTAATGTGATGGTGTCACCACAAAGTTTAACCAGCAGACTGCGCTGTGAGTTACAATACTATAGTAAGCAGCACAGAGTGTTGTTATGTTAAAGTATATTGAACTTATATATTCTTTAATAAAGTTATTTGTTAACGAAAGCAGCCTTCTGAGTACCTTTGCAGAGTCATATTGGTGCAAAATCCACATAGAAAATTTCCATTCCAGCTCAAAAGTTCACTATATCAGTCGCCATATCTGTAATCTGTGAATTTCTGCCTTCTAAAATCAGTATTGGTCTCCAAAATCCCATATCAGTGGGCCTCTTTATGGTACAGATCATCATAGCGACGCAATTGGGAAACAACCTTCTATATGACAAACCTACACTGTACATTTATTGCCAGATTGACAGGATCACTGCTCTCTTTTCTTCTGCCCTGCTCACACTCAATGCTCTCTCTCTCTTTCACTCATCCACACACTGACTACATGCACAAAAATGTGCATATATCCACACTTATAACAGAGGACATGCAGGGATGGTGTTCTTGTCTATGTCTGCAGAGAGTAAGCAGTAGAACACGGCATGGTTTTGCCGGCTGAAATTTTGATAATGTTGGCTATTTAAAAAATGCCAGGTTTGGGCAGGATGTCCCGTGTGGCGCGACTAATTAGTGGTCAGCAGTGTTTTCACATCACCTTTTAGTATATGCTTAGCTTGCTTAAAAGCCCAGCTGAGGTGGTACCAAAAAAAGTACAGGGTTCTATCCATAACGGAAAACAAAAAAGAGATTGAGTACAATACATTTAATAAACTCAAATTATATGATGCGTTGCTATTTATAATGGTCTGAAAGCAAGATTTTACGTGACTTTTACATGTAATTAAATGTTGGCCACTAGCGGGCAGGAGAGCAACAAAAGCTTACGGATACAGAAACCTTTGGTACCAAAAATTTCCACTTTACACATTTAACAGTCAGTCAGTTTGTTAGAATCTTTTAGCTGAAAATAGGGTTGATGAGAACAAACAAACAAACAAAGGTAATTTGCAGTCCATGAAACTAAAACAAGGAGCTAAAAGAGGACAAACAGATCTGTTAAGATGAGGCGTTGGATAATTACTCTCTAATATTGAGTTGTTCAATTCAAACTATTGATTTATGGAGCACATTTTAATGCTAATATGTCTGAATGTTTGCAAACATTTTTAGGGCTTTTACTCATATTAGTGGTACTAGTATCTGAAAGGAAGAGGCTGTGTGTGGTTTAAGGAGTAAGTGATGACATTAATTCAATTCAATTCAATTTTATTTGTATAGCGCCAATTCATAACAGAAGTTATCTAAGGACACTCTTCAAATAGAGCAGGTCTAGACCGAACTCTTTATAACATTATTTACAGAGACCCAACAGTACCACCATGAGCAAGACCTTGTCGACAAGGGCAAGGAAAAACTGCCTGTTAAAAGGCAGAAACCTAGGACAGATCCTCCGGCTCTAGGTGGGTGGTCGTCTGCCTCGACCAGTTGGGGTGAGAGAGAGAGAGAGAGAGAGAGAGAGAGAGAGAGAGAGAGAGAGAGAGAGACAGACAGACAGACAGACAGACAGACAGACAGACAGACAGGTGCACAGCAACAACAGTATTGGCAATGGCAATCTAGCAGGACCATGGCAGGAGGCTCCTCCAGGATCGACAAGAACCTGCGAGACGAGAAAGCACAAGAACTCCGGCGACACTTGGCGACAAGGGCAAGGAAAAACTGCCTGTAAAGAGGCAGAAACCTAGGACAGACCCTTCGGCTCTAGGTGGGTGGTAAAGAGAGAGAGAGAGAGAGAGAGAGAGAGAGAGAGACACACAGACAGACAGACAGACAGACAGACAGACAGAGGTGCACAGCAACAACAGTAGCAACAACTAATAGTGGTGAGAACCTGCGAAACGAGAAAGCACAAGAACTCCGGGGAAGAAGTGAAGTTAGTAACATGCATTAATGGAACATGAATGAGTGCAGAAAGAGAGAGGAAGAGAGGAGCTCAGTGCATCATGGGAAATCCCCCGATAGTCTAGGCCTATAGCAGCATAACTAAGGGATGGTTCAGGACTCACCTGATCCAGCCCTAACTATAAGCTTTATCAAAGAGGAATGTCTTAAGCCTACTCTTGAATGTGGTGAGGGTGTCTGCCTCCCGAACCACAACTGGAAGCTGGTTCCACAGGAGAGGAGCTTGGTAACTGAAGGCTCTGGCTCCTGTTCTACTTTTAGAGACTATAGGAACCACAAGTAGCCCAGCATTCAGAGAACGTAGTGTTCTAGTGGGGTAATAGGGTACTATGAGCTCTTTAAGATATGAAGGGGCCTGACCATGAAGAGCTTTATAGGTGAGGAGGAGGATTTTAAATTCTATTCTAAATTTTACAGGGATCCAATGCAGAGAAGCTAGTACAGGAGAGATGTGATCTCTTTTTGTAGTTCCTGTCAGTACTCGTGCTGCAGCGTTCTGAATTAATTGGAGCGTTTTATGGCCTAGGTTAAGTGTCATGGTTAAGTGAGTCCCAGTGGGGGAGACCTGGGCCCACAGGTTAAGAATAGTCATCAAATCTGAGGCTCCACAGACATACTCAGGAAGTAGTCGTTACCGCTGCTCCGAGTCAAACACGAAGGACAATATAGAGAACTTAACCAGTGCAGGATGTGACCACAGTGGGAGAGAGGACTTTCTGTTGCCTTGACTCAAAGCCACATTCTCAGTCCCACCCTGTGACTTATCAGGGTCAGACCAAGAATAAACCTGGAGGAAGTAAGAGCATATCAGTCTGGATAAGATGTCAGTGGAGTAACTTAGTGATAACTTACACAAGGGCTCGTCTGTGAGTGATTTTAACCACCACCACGCCTGAATGAATCACAGTCTGAAAGATGGAGTGAAACATAAAAACCTTATTGCATACAAATTTCACCATCTGCCTGATTCATCGTGAGCCAAAGAATACTTAAACACTGTAAAAAAAACAGTCAGACAGGAATGTAGTGGAAACAGCTAATCTTTCCTCATTTACTTAACGTAAATATACAAGTTTTATTTATTTCAAATGAATTCAACATTTTCAACCCCAAGTTTTTGTTTTCAGGCCATTTCAGAACTTACAAACATGAATTCTTCTAACTTGAAGACTTTTGAGTTGAAATGTTGAGTTGAATGAATGTACTGTACCAAGTTCAATCAACTCACCAAATTCAGTTTCTAAAGAAACATACTTGGCATCGTAGGCTTCCCAGCATGCATTGTTTGAGAGTTAAAACTCTCCTGAGACCCTTCTTTTCTGTAGTTTTAAGAAAACATATATGATGGAAACTTTGTGTGAAATGAAGAACTGACTCTTCAATAAAATGTAAAAGGAAATCAATCAATTTGTTTTTCAGTGTGACCAAACAGTTGTTCATTCAACCTAATATCGTAAGCTTATTGAACATGTTTTCTCAATTTCAGTTAATCTAACTCAATTGGGTTTTAACTGGTTCAACTGGTCAACTGGTTTTTGGTTTAAGACTTAAAAACTAAATTAATAGATAACTAATTGTTCAACCTAAGTCCCGTTAAATCACATTTGTAAGGCAGCAAATGAACCTATATTTTTATGTTGAACCAGCTCAAAATTATTTACAGTGCTATGTCTATTTTAGTATATCTTAAAAATATTTAAAAGCAATATTTTGAAAATTAACCAAAATGCCTGCAACACTGGTAATGTTTTTTAAAAAAAGTTATGAATTTATCTGGATTTGTTACTGTGCTTCCATTTAAAAAAAAAAAAAAACACTAGTTCAGAATCAGAAATATTTCATGACTGTACAGTGGGTTTTTCACTGAAAACAGCTGCAGCTTAAAAATGACACTATGACAGTAAAGCTGTGGGCCAGACAGATAAACAGTGAGCACACAGAGCTGATGGGAGTTTCTGAGTCAGGTGATCATTCTTTTTTTTTATTATAGCAGCTTTAAACTTAGCTATTAAATATTTGTAATCAATATATGTACTGAGGGACATTTTTCAGGTGAAAAAGAAACGTGCAGGTGCTCTCTGGTGGACAAACTATGTAATTGCAACACTGACTCCATTACTTACTTCTAATAACTTATTGGCTGACATACTGTATACGCAGTTACCTGTGATAATATATGCAAATAATATTGGTCCAGGTGATTTAGAACATGTTTAATTCCCTTCTTGCCAAAGTCAAAGCTCTGATGAGACATTATAAAATGATAAATAACGAGAATACAATCAAACTTTTATTACCCAACAACCTGCATTTCATACTTAGTGGTTATGAGCTTCATTGTTAGTCTAGACATTCACTCATTCAACAGAAACATGATCAATTGAATTTCATATTCCATATCCCTCTGCTCCGTAAAGTTTGTCAATCCTTGTCACCAGTCAGTGGTGTGGAAGCCAGACATTTTGGCTGAATTGTGCCCCAGTGATGGATGTAAGCTTACTTTTTTTAATTCTCTACAACATTAAATTCCTCATCCCTGCAGGACGTCTGGGGGAAAAGCTTTTGATGCCATTGTCACCAGTCTCAACATGTGCGTTTGATTTGCTTTTCTCAAAAAAGGATTTCTTATTCCTATTTAGAGTTCATTCAGAGCTCACACGCAACAGACGGACCCCCAAACCAAAATTCTTCACATGAGCAGATGCACAATCCCACCGGCTGATTAAAGGAATACAATGTGGGGAGTTTAAAGTGGTCTTTTTCGCCTGAGAACACAGACGCCAAATTTATCCTCAGCTGACAGTGGTCCAAAACTGTCTTTTTCTGTATTGCTAGAAAAATGTGTCTTGGTTTGCGTATACTTTTATGTGTTGTGAGTGTGAAGGTTGTTGTGGCCCTCTGGTTCAATAAGCTCCATCCCTGTAAACCTACAGCGTAGAGTATCAAGTAAAGATGCTGCCAGGTTTATTTTCATTCTTTTTCAAGTGCTGCTTGTGCTGTGCAGAGCTCCAACTGCTCACTTTTCCCTTTTGCTTGCAGCTAATTCATGACTCTGCTGAACAACAACATAACTACATTTTCCACTATACCCATCCAGGCTTAGAATAATTTACAAGGCAAACTTTTCAAAACATGACCCTCATACCAGGCATTCAGAGGCAAAAAAAGTTCTTTGCAATGGGCTGCTATAGGCCTGTGGACAACGTACAAACTTCCCCGGTGTTTCAGCTTTGACGAAGTGTTAATTTGTGTATAGAGAGTTTATTTAGGTGTTTCTTTTCTAGCTCATAGAGTACCTCCATTAAAAATTCCTTTGCAAAAAACCCCCCAAAAAAACCCAGCAGTTGCTTTTCACTACAATTGAAGAAGTATGCTGATTTAACTTGATGTACAGCATCGATCTGCTCCACAATATGTTGCTAGAAATCTTGCCTGGCCTACCTTGCAGGTAACATCTAAAGTAACCTAACATGGGGACCTATGTTTAAGAAACTCAGCTTTAAAACATGCCTTTGAGAAGACTAATCCCTACATATCATTCATGCATCTTACAGCCAAGGAGTGTGGCGGGGTGCTGACAGATCAGCAGAGGATCATTCAGTCTCCTGGCTTCCCTGAGGAGTATCAAGACGAGCAGATCTGCTACTGGCACATCCGTGTGCGCCTGGGCCAGAGGATCCAACTCCACTTCCTAGAGTTTGATGTGGAGGACGACACAGCGTGTCTAGGAGATTACCTGGATGTGTACGACAGCTATGATGATGTCTCCGGCTTTGTTGGGAGGTGAGGATCATTGGGGGGAAAAGTAGGACGTGTCCAAACTCCTAGCTCCTGATACTTTATAGAACTGAAACAGGACCTTCCTCGTTCAAATGGCCAATATGATTAAATGCAAGGTATATATTACATCATTCTGATAAAATGCTCAACTCAACAAACAAGAAAATATATTAGGTTATATATATCAAATTCATGGCTAGATGTTGCACTAAGGCACAGCATTTCGGACCAAAACAATTGGGCACTTTGGCCCACCAGACTCCATTAACAAAATAAGTAATTTTATTTTGCAGATAATCGTAAAACAAATTCAAACTTTAAAACCTTCTTTGGTAGTCTTTCCACGTTCCTTCTAACAATCACCAACGCTGGTTACTGAGATAATATAGCTCATCCTTGGGGACAATTGCGCCCGTCAAAGTAGGGCCACTAAAAGTTTATATTTTTGCCACATACAGGCTCAGAAGTTTCTGACAACATTACGGAAAGGATCCCTACAGAAATTGACCGTGACTTTGTAACTTTTTGCACTGCAAACTCTGGTTTGGTCAAAATAAATCCTTAATTCACTGATGTAGAGGAGAAATACAGCAGTTTCAGTTGTGACTACACTATATCTTTACATAGCAAATACTTCTTTTCTGTTATATTAATGTTTTAAATGTCATATATGTAACGTTTAACATGTACAATAATACATTCAAGATTCATTATCAAAAATCAGATTCAAAGAAAATAAAAAACAGCATAGTATGACAGCACTGTACAATATTAAATAGACTCCACTGACTAGAAAGTAATGACAGAGAAATGTATGAGCCACATCACGGTACTGGGATGAGATTCCTCTTCCAGCCCTCTGCATATGTTTGAACTGAAGGGAATGAGACATGAAAGATTAATGTGAACACTTGTTTGTTTACAGATTCTGTGGCGATTATTTACCTGACGACATCGTCAGTACAGGTGAGATCTCCTCATAATGTCATATAAGAAACAAACAGTGTGTCTGTGTTATCTCTATGAGGAAACATTATTTGGCTGTTACACTGATGGATCTCTGGATTACCAAAACACAAAACAATTACATTTGTCTTTATTTCCCAGGAAATGTGATGACGCTGAAGTTCCTGTCCGATGCTTCAGTTACAGCCGGGGGCTTCAAGTTACATTACACTGCCTTTAATGCATCTCTGTTTTCACAGAATCACACTCATTATTTCCACTGACAAATGGTTCAATACACTGATATAATCCTGTTGCTGTATTTATGATGTTACTGGTTAGCTCATGAACTGTAATTAATAAGTCTCTAAAGCTGATTAAACAACAAATTCTGTCAAATAAACAAGGTCCTTAAATTGTGTCGCAGTTTCTGTTCTTTAAATAAATATATTCATTACATTTTGAAAATTGGTGACAATGAAGGTGGATTATTTTGTTAACTCCATCTAATCTAAGAGGAAAATGTCTCCAACATTTACTACTTTCACTTTTTTAAATGTGTTTTTGTGCGTTCATTTGCCTAATCCCTTCATCTTTAGGACTGAATACAACAATTCATAATTATCAAGACCATTTTCATTTCATAGACAAAATATTAGCATTAGCTTTTTTTATTAAATCAGGGGATTTATGAAAATTATTGCTCATTGCTGCCTAAAATTAATGTATTTCAATGTTTTTGTTCAGGCTTGGTGGATTTTTGCAAATACCATTAGGAGCACTAGGAGGAGCCAGAGGAACCTGATGTTTTCACAGATTATCTGTCTCATGTTCTACTGTCAGGATATAGCGAACGTTTCAGTGAATATGACAAAAAGTTATTTTTGTAAAAGTACCTACTGCAGCTTTAAATCTGTCTGGAAACATATGTGTAACAAGAGAGGTGTGTCACCTTAAACCAGGTGTTTCTGTTTCAGGTTCAGTATACGTCAACTGGAGGAGAAATCATTTTGCACTTGTTTGACATCCAGTGATGAAGAGATAAAACGCAGATTTTCTTTAAATCCTGATCTTAAATACTATCAATGAGTGAATGACACCAGTCCTCCGTAGATCACTAACATGATTGTAATTTGAGATTGAATTGACGGGGTAGAGTTAGAAAATGAAGTATTTTGCTAATCGATTAATCATTCAAGACATTTTGAAATCAAAACTTTCCCTTATTATCTGGTTGCAGGTTCTCAAATGTAAGGAATCACTTCTTTCTTTTGTTTAATAGCACTGTAAACTATATATAATATTTTTGTGTCTTGGACTGTTGATTAGACAAAACAGGACATCTGAGGACATCCTGTGGTGCTGTAGTGATACTTTTTGCTCAATAATTGCAAAATAATTAATGAATAATGAAAATGAGCTTTGGTGACAGGCCTAATCACAAGCACCAAATAAGTACGACGGATGCAAGGTTATTTAATTGTCATTTATTCATTACATCTGTAAAAAACTGCTGCAGATGTTTAACCAGTGTGTGGTGGCCAGCGTCCTCTTTTATGCTGTAGTTTGCTGGGGAGGAAGCAGCACGAAGAGAGACGCTGGTCGACTGGACAGACTGGTGAGGAGAGATAGATAATAGACAATGGACAATTTCTACCTCCATTTGCACATCCACTTGCACTCAGTTTGCACTGTTTACTGTTTTGCACTGTTTACTGTAGCTACTGTGTTATAAGTTAATTTTATTTTGAATTTTATTTTAATGTAGGTTTAATGTATGTTTAATGTATGTTTCCTATGCTACTGGATACTTGAATTTCCCTCGGGATAAATAAAGTATCTATCTATCTATCTATCTATCTATCTATCTATCTATCTATCTATCTATCTATCTATCTATCTATCTATCTATTTTACAATGCAAGGAACTTTCATGAAATTCAGGCTTATAGTTTCCCTTTATGCGCTTTTTTATTTTTAATTCTTCTTTTATTCTATTTCATGTATTTCTTTTTTATTCATTTCTATTTGTCTGTTGTTGTTGTTGTTATTATCATTATCATTGGTAGTTTTACAGGTATTATAATACTGTAGGTGCGCCGTCAGTTCGCTGTTTTCCTTATACGGTCAAATGGGCGGACCTGAGGGTGACGTACGCAGGGTCAGAGGTAATTTTGTACGTCGGCGTGGTGGTTTGGCGCCAGCAATTTCGCGGGGTAACAGCAGCACAAGGAGAAGCGCAACGGGACAAGAAAGCTCAAATAGTGAAGCTGAAAGCTGGGCTGCAGACTGAGAAGCACACGGTGCAGTGGACGGCCGGTGTGTGCGCTGGCGTTCATGGTGTCTCTGGGTCAACTCTGCCGCTTGCACTTCGTCCTGAACTCCGAGGTGAGCGGCCAGTGTGCTCAGCGGCGGGGGCTGTGTGTTTCTGTCAAACACACATTTGTGTAAATACGTGTTCGTTAGCGTTGTTTATCAGCTCGTCGGTGAGTCTAAATAAGCGCCTTGCCGCGGACAGGTGAGCCGGAGGTTGGGGCAGTGTCACCGCGGTGGTAGGAGCCGCGGCGTCCGACTGTGTGAGCAGGAAACTTTGCTAGCTACAGACCCGACATGCAGCCTGCTAGCGCTGCTAACTTGTTAAAGCTAGTTAGCAGGCTGCTTGCTATCACTCCGCATGGCTGCCTTCAATAATGTAGACCCTGAGTGGTTATGTTTGTGAACTTAGGATGTGTGTGAGTGTATTCAGTAAGTTGACTGGTGTTATTCACAGCAGGACACTGACTGACAGGCTTGTCTTGGTTCTTCAGTTTGCTAAATGCTGCTGGCCTCTGGTCGCACTCAGCATACACAGTAATCACACACATCTGAGAGACTGTTAACAGTGGCAGCTTATCCTCACTTGTGTTCACATATTTCAACTGTCATAATCTTTGTCTTCATTTGTCCTACGTTTACAGATCCGGATACAGTGGAGGGTGCTCGCAGCTGTACATAAATCTCACTGAGGTATGTCCATGAGTCAGTCTTGTATCCCTCTTCGTTATAGCAGCTCTTTGAGGGGGCCATGGTGTGTATCTTTATCAGTTGAGAAAAGTTGATGCAAACCTATTTTTAGTAGGCAAAGTCATGCTTAATGACCAAATATAGGCCACCAACACATCAGTGTTTACTAGGACTGCATGGACTGACTGATACCACAGTATGAATTTGATGTCAGTAAATTAATATATCTAATCTAATCTCTTATCCTCCCTATGTGCCCCCCTCCAGTCAGAAACCAGTGTTTGTCCTTGTTCCTACAGTGTGCTGTTTGAATGCTGTCTGTGCAGAGTTTGACACTTGAAAGATGTTTTCACATTCATCTACTGAAAGTGGAAAGTTTCTTTGAGCTCATTGAAATTCCGATTTAAGTAGGGCTCCACAATTAATCACACTGTTATTGAAATTGCTCCAAATTCCTGAAGCTGCAATTTTTTGATAAAGGAAAAATGTGGCAAACATCAATTTATTGATGTACTGTAGTGCTGCAGAGACGCACTAGCTAACAAATCTTGTTCTCCAAACATGTTTTCTTGGTACAGACCCCAAGAAATTTCTGATTGAATTTGTGAGTTTGGAAGTCAGTCCTGGTCCAGTATCAACTGGTACTGTGTGATGTAGAAACTTGAACAACTTTTACATATTCATAGATTATGGAATTTTGAATGAGGTAGAAGAAGTAGATGACTTTTTAAGGCTTTTAATGTTTAAATTATATATCTATATATCATTTTTTTTTTCTCCTAGAAAAACATATTAGACACATATTGTTGTTTCAAGCAGACTTTTTGTATGTACTGTCGTTATCAGGGATCCCACATGTCATGGAAAACCTGGTGAATCTGGAAATGGAGACTAGTAGACACCTGGAAATGAATTAAAATGACCAAATATCCTAAATAATCACTGTTGTCCTGAAAAATTGTTATTGTATTTTAGCCCCGAATAAATATAGATCGCCTACTTCCAACTTTGTTGCACATTTAATTTGAAAGTCAGTAGCTGCGGGTTAACCAGTTGTGAAGCGGAATGTAACATTTCTTTAAATGCTCCTGTTTCCTTTTGGCCATGTCAGTCAGTCTGGCTGTTCACATCAGATGTGGAGCGATCTTTTCAGCGTCGCAAGGAACCATGGACGCTTAATCGTAAACCCTGCATTAAAGCACACTGATGCCGAGACACGATCTTAAACATTTAAACAGTCCTTTAGAGACACATTTTATCTGGGTTTAGGGCTGCACAATTAATTGAATATTAATTGTGATCACAGTTTTGGCTCACCACAATTAAATGAACATGATCGCCTACGATACTGATGTTTAATATACGTGCTCGGCTCATAGAAAACTCTGCTGCGTATCAAAATCTTCCAAAACTAGCACCCAGCAACCATGGTTGGTCGAGACGTTCTGGTCTCGCTTTTGGGGCTCTATCATGTCACTGCACGCACACCCTGCAGCTGCAGCCTGAATACTTTTATTCTGGGGAAAATACTGTGTTAAGTTACTGCTAACTACACTGAGAGTGACCACCAGCAGCTACTTTTTAAAGAGCATGTTTCTATCAAGCATTCTAGGGCTTGTTCCCAGTTTTTTTGTTGTTAGTGCAACACTCAATGACGTCCCTCCATAGCGTGACTCTATAGGAAGAGACAAAGGACAAACGTGTTCTTGAGAATGACCTTGTTCAGCCTCTTTCTCCTCTTTCTTCCCAACTGTTTTTTAAAGGCCTTGAGGAGGTGAGTAATAATGATGGCGACAGCGGGGCCTCAGAGCAGCTCCGGCTTCCTCCCCTTGCTAGAGTCTCTGGAGGACAGCGCTGCCGGACAGTCTGAGCAGACGGATGCCTACCTCACCATCGCCAAGTACGTTACTAGCGCTGGTCTTTGAGCCTCCTCTGGATACGTTGGAGGATGTGAGTTTTGCCTACAGTCAAAATAGGAGTAAGAAAATGTGTTTCTTTTTCCTTGCAGTCGACTCAGCGGAGAGGATGGCCGGCAGTTTCTCCCTGCAGTTGAAAAGCACTTTTCTCGTCTGGGTAAAGCCACCTTGGTGAGGCTTTTTTTAAAGCAGGAGGAACTTCTAAATCTCCCTATTTTATATTAAAGCTCTTGTCTATGGTGCCTAATTCTGCTCTTGTCTCGTGTTGTTTCCAGGCTCACATAACCAGTCCGAATGCAGAGCTGAGCCAAGCTGCCCTGCAAGCTTTAGGGTTTTGTGTCTACCATTCCCACGTCGTCTCTGCAGTGCCTGGTACATTCATTTCCATATTTTGTGCATCATCATTTCAGACATGACCTGCTGGGATTAAATTCTGTGTGACTGTAACCGCTGCGGAGGATGATTCTCTTCTGTCTGTTTTCCAGAAACCTTCGCAG